AATGCCGATCTTAAAAAATGTTAACATTTTTCCCCAAGATAAGAATGTAAACCTGTAAAGTGCACTTTTATTTTGTTAATTTCTACTTTTATTACATGAAAAGTGTTGTTGTTTTTTACCTGTTCATGATGTATGTATTCTTGCTTTGCTTGTGCTGCATTCTCCGTCTCTAATCCCATTTTGTAAGAAGTATGTGTCGCCCATTCTTCAAACTCCTAGAGCAAAAAATAAATAAAAAAAAATTAGAAATATCAAAACTGTTAAAATGAGGTCTTTATAACTGGTGCCAAATATGATATTTCAAAGAAGATTAGGTTATTTATTTAAGCAAAGTTATTTAAAAACTGCATAGTTTTTGAAAGAAAGATAAAAAATATACACTCAAATGAAAGAAGGTTAAATCATTCCATTTGGACCAGTTTCTTTAAGGGTATCAAATACTTATTTTACCCACTGTATATGGTGGAACATCTTGGATTTTGACGTGGCAACCGTATTTTCAAAAGTGACCTTTCTTAGACCTAGCTGCAGCTACACTTAAATGAAAGTCAGTACCTCACTTATTTTTCATATTATCCAGCTGACAATGTGCAGACGGACAAACGACGGGGACAAAATGCCTGAAAATATCTTCCATATTTTCTGTTTTAAGGAAATTTTATTTTCAAAATCTTTATGCAGCTCTTAAGATTCTTTAAATGTCTTGATTTGTCCCTCTGGAAAAAAATGTTGCACACCCCTGATCATGAGCTAAAAAACATGATTACATAGCTTTCTAAAGATTTATAGTAAAATAGCCACAAAGCAGTAAAGACATTTATGCCGTTTATAAGTTTAGCTGTTATTTCAATCTTAAAATCGGCCAAAGCAGCCTTGCTCAGGATAAAAAGAACAGTCTACTGTTGAGAATAAAATAAACTGATGATAAATTGTGGAAAATACTATAATATGGGTTGGTGGATATAATGTTTAATTATGAATTATGGAAAATAGAACATATAAAGATGGCTAGAATATCTGTTAAATGTGTAAACTAGGCCATAAGTCGATAAATGATATCTTTTTAGTGACTGCTAACTTTAAAATCAACCATGACACTTTCTGCTGTCCGTGGGCAAACAGTTCCTTATTTCTAATAAGGCCTTTAATGAGAAGCAAAACATCAACCTCAAAGGTTCTTGATTATGCCTACAAACCTTGTTTGTTTTTTAACATTCATGTGGAAGTCGGCTTCTCATAATCCACCATCACAGAGCAAAGAGTGGAATTGAAAATACCCTCTGCCCGTCCATCTTCTTGTGAGCTTGATAACTTGAAAAATAAGCGAGGTACCAACTCGTGTGGCTGTATCTAGGTTTAAGGTTCCTATCAAAAACTGGGTTGCCACATCCAAATCCAAGATAGCTGTCGGCATTAACGTCTGTCCATCATGTGAGGTGGATGAAAAAAAAAGCAATGGCCCACTTCCATTTTGGTGCGTGGCTGTATCTAGGCGTAAAAAGTCAAAAATTGTGTTCAGATGGATGTATGGAGGGTATTTCCAATTTGAATCTTCGTGCCGTGACAGGGGACAACTAAACAAGTAGAAATGACATGAGTAATGACAATTTATGACAACTGCTGTGCAACATACAGTTGATAAATAGAACATAATGACAGTGTTGAATGCAAAATAAATAAAAATATTCTTCCAAGTTATTGTGAGTTCATGCCAACTTTTTTCACAGTGACATCTACCTTGGTAGGTAAAAATGTCAGCTTATATTTATTCAAACAGGATGGCCCATCTCTGACAGCTCAGTGTTAATATAGATGGCGGCTTCGTCTCCCTTTAGTTAGTGGGTCAGGAAGGTGCATGAGCCAACTCCTTGCATTTTCTTAGATTACGCCAAACTCAATCATCTCACTGTTAGAAGTGACTTATTACTGCAAACCAACTCAGAGTGGAGATGGCCACTTCCTTGAATATATTTGTTTGGCTGATTATATTAACAGCCAGCAAAAAAAAAAAAAAAACAGTCTTAAAGAGTCTAAAATATTATTTGATTGGTGCAGTCAAAATACTGTGCCATTTAAAGAAATACTTGGTTAAATTTAATCTTGGATGTGAGTTTGAGACGCTGCTGTGTAAAACTTATAAACACACCTTGTTATGTGTGGAGTCCTGCTCAAGGCTTTCTGGTTCTTTGTCCTGGGCAGAAGGACCTGATCCAGGCAAGCTCCGCTCTGAACAAAACACATGTTGACTGGGGAACCTAAAACACAAAGAGCAGCATGTGTTAGATGCAGTATTTTCACACAAAAACAAAAGCTACTTTAATAATAGCAAGAAAAATATAAACTATACCCTTATTTTACACTGTGCTGGGGTTTAAAACAACAATGAACGACTCAGTGTAAACAACACAAACAATAAGCTATGACCAACATGAATTGTTCAGTTCTAAGAATGTTTGCACACCACATTCCCAACAGCTGGAAAGCATCCTTCCTGCAAGAAAAGGTAAAAAAACAGAATCTTTACTGAACATAAGCTATAAAAGTGCAAAGAGTTGGAAAGTAGTGTCATCTGAGAAAATACAGATTTTAGAAGGAAATATTATATACATTTACTGTAATGATTTTTACAAGCTACTAATGAATATTAGCACTCATTAATTCATCTCCACCCCCAATCTCTAATGGTTCTCTTTCCTGTTTTGTTTTTCTTGTAAGAAGTGGCCAGAGCTCAGATTATTGCATCAGTCCTTTCAGCTCAAGTCGACGTGTCCAACATGAACCGACCTTTTAACCTACTTAAAAGATCAGAAAAAACACTAAATGCACCACTTTTACCTCAATAAAAGCAAAACTTTCAAACCTTCTAACATGATGCCAAGCACTACATGTCACGTTACATATTTGTTTCAACCTTATTAAATTAACATCAAAGTTCATGCTCAGTAATTCAGGTAGAAAAATTCAACAGAGTTAAGCCAGGTCCTCTGGGCAGTTTCTTTATGTTGAAACGTTTTGTCTTTCATCCAAAAAGCCACAACAAACTCAGTCTTATAAATGACATCTTCACATAGTCAACTTATTAAATTAAACAAAAACAACAAAAAAAAACTAATTTAAAGCTGTAAGTCTCACACTTGACATTAGGAAGCCTAACTAAAAAGGCAGAGTAGCTAAACATCAGAATTTATATATCACAAAAGAAAAAAAAAGTTATAGTGTGTCTGCTTAACCAAAATCAGTATTTTAAAATGTGTTAAAAATTAATTAAACTATATTTGCACTGTAATTACATTTCTTAAAGTTGGACTAACATGCCCTGACAATGCAGCTGAAATTGAATAACTGTTGCATGATCAGCAGCACTCCAAGTGACATCACTAAGAGCATCATCAGCTGATCCTTCACAAAGCTTTGGCCCCAAAAAGTAACTCAGAGTCAGAGTCAGAGTCAGAGTTTCTTTATTGTCATTCGCACCTCATGTGGTACATGTGGTGGAGCGAAATTATGTACACAGGGTCCCAGTTACATCCAACAATAAAATGTATAAGAAAAACAGTAATAACATCTAAGATATGAACTAAGAAAAACAACTAAATATACACTAAGCACTCATAACATAAAACATTGAACATCACCACAAACATGAACATGAGTCTGTGAGCAGATGTGCACGCATGAACACATCAACATTGAAACAGATCAGCAGCAACATGAAACAGATCAGCAGCAACATGATATGGTTTTTCACAGTGATTATTCTAGTTAGAGATTCATGAGTCTAACAGCCTCAGGGTAGAAGCTGTTCCTCAGTCTAGTGGTTCTACACTTAATGCTCCTTAACCTCCTTCCTGAGGGGAGTGGGGCAAAAAGTGTGTGTGCTGGGTGGGTGGGGTCCTTCATGATGCAGGTGGCCCTCTTCCTGCATCTGGAGGTGTAGATGTCTGTGATGGTGGGGAGACTGATTCCGACAGATTTCTGTGCAGCCTTCACCACTCTCTGCAAAGCTTTTCTTTCTGCAGCTGTGCAGCCTCCATGCCACACATTGATGCTGGAGCACAGGATGCTCTCCACTGCACACCTGTAGAAGGAGGTGAGGACTGAGCTTCCCAGACCAGCTCGCCTCAGCCGTCTGAGGAAGTAGAGTCTCTGATGAGCTTTCTTGATCAGGCTGGTGGTGTTGTTGCTCCAGCTGAGGTTGTCATTCATGTGTACACCCAAGTACTTGTAGCTGGAGACCACTTCCACCGCAGATCCTCTTATGTTCAGGGGGGTGTAGGTGTTTTTGTTCCTTCTGAAGTCCACAATCATCTCCTTAGTCTTCTTCACATTGATGTGAAGGTTATTCTCTCTGCACCAGCTCTCCAGGTGTTCCACCTCCTGCCTGTAGCTGGACTCATCATTGTTTGTGATGCATCCCACCACCGCTGTATCATCTGCAAACTTTACAATGTGACAGCCTGGATGGGTAGCTGCACAATCATATGTGAGCAGAGTAAACAGGAGGGGGCTCAACACACATCCCTGAGGAGAGCCAGTGCTCAAGTTGGTCCAAAGTGTTTCTACATGGTAGAATCCAAGAAAATGATTGTGGTGCCAAAAATCATAAACCACTTCCAAAATACACAAAATCTCCTATTTATATGTCAACAACAACAACAAGGTACCAATTTGTCAGCAGCTATATTGCTTTCAGATGTCTTGGTTTGTCTTTAGTCAACCAGAAAAGCCTAAAACCTACAAGTTTAAAAGTAGTGCAACACCACATATGGTAAAGTTGGGCACACTGTGGCCAATATGCCAGTTCCCCCATGGATTACATAAAGCTTGACTTTTATAAGCCTGCTGACTGTTGTGCAATTTTATTATGTAAGACAGTTAGCTATAAGAACAATAGTTTTAAAAAAAAAAAGTTAGGCCTCCATGGAAGTACTCAAGCAAAAGTCCAACTTGGATTGTGACATAAATTATAAATAGTGTAAAATATGTTATTTTCACATCCAATGACATAAAACACAGCAGATGAAACTCTGACAGATGGTCAGTCTCACTATGGCCTGGTGCAGTAATCCAGATACAGTCAGAGCAGAGAGGAGAGAAGATTCATAACACATTCATACTACAGACGAATCACGCATGTGCAGAGACCATTTTCACCTGCCAATAAGTATATCCTGATGCATGCTCAATAATCCAGGTAGAAAAATCTAAAAAAGTTAAATCTGGTCCTCTGGTCAAATTTTGAATGTCCAGAGGACGAGATTGAACTTTTTTTTAGATGCAAATAAGTATTTTCTGTTGTCTCTTTTTGGTCTGTTTAGATTGGTAATCTCCACCTTGAATCACCACCTTATTGTGGAGGAGGGGTTTGTGCGTCTGAATGACTAGGAGCTATGCTGGTAGGGTCTCCCAAGGAAGACTGGTCCTAGGTGACAAGCCAAGCAGAACGATTCAACACAACGTATGGACCAAACGAAACAAGGAACTTGGTGTCCCTTGCCCTGACGTGGGTCACCGGGGTCTCATCCTGGAGCCAGGCTTGGGGGAGGGGCTCGCCGGCAAGCACCTGGTGGCCAGGCCTTTAACTATTGGGCCTGGTCAGGCTCAGCCTGAACAAGCAACATGGGTTTGCCTTCCTGTGGGCATACCACCTGCAGGAGGGGCTGTACAAGTCGGGTGCATGATGCCATGGCCAGTGGCCGAAGGTGGGAGCCTTAGCGCTCGGACCACAGCTTACAAGAGCTGGCACTTGGGACATGGAACATAGAATTTCTGGTGGGGAAGGAACCTAAGCTTGTGCGTGAGGTTGAGTTGGAGTTTTCCCTGGTAGATGAGAGCGTAGCTTCCCTGTGCCTTTAGGTGGGGGGGACGGGCTCTGACGGTTGTTTGTGCCTACATTGCAAACGGCAATTCAGAGTAGCCGGCCTCCTTGGAGTTCTTAGCATGGGTGCTGAAAAGGTACGCCAGCTGCAAACTCCTTTATTCTGTTGGGGGACTTCAACGCCCACATGGGTAACGACAGTATGACCTGGAGGGGCATGATTGGGAAGAACGGCCTCTCCGATCTGAACCTGAGCAGTGTTCTGTTGTTGGACATCTGTGCTAGTCATGACTTGTCAATCACAAAAAACATGTATGAAAATAAGGGTGTCCATGCTGTGGCTCCATTAAAGATAAGAACCTCAAGACCGAAGCCTGACCCCTGGACTGATGATGTCACACGTGCTGCCAGACGCTAGTGCAGGAGAGCAGAGCGAAAATGGAAGAAGGACAAGTTACAGGCGTCTTTGAGGGACAGCTGGCGTTTCTATCAGTTCACTGTTAGAGCTGCAAAAACCAAATATTTCTCTGACATCATTTGCACCAACTAACAATCCACATGTGCTTTTTAAAACCCATCAGCTCTGTTCTTAATGCCCCACAATCAGCCTGCCTGGAGAACTCCACTGGAGTGTGTGAGAACTTCCTAAGCTTTTTTACCAACAAGGCTGAAAACAGAGCTCTCATAAGCCCTCCTCCTTTTGACCCCTCCATCTCTGTCACATGCTCTGCTGTTTTCAGTCAGTTTGAGCTCGTCACCCTGCCTTTTTTAAAAGACATCACTGGTCGTATGAAATCTGCTGGATCTCCAAATGATCCCATCCCACCTCGTCTTTTTAAAGAGGTTTTTCACACGAGGCTTTTATCACCTGAGAAAACTGGCCAAGGTCAAACCATTTCTGCCACAACATCATTTTGAGATTTTAATCCATGCTTTCATTACAACTCGTCTGGACAATTGTAATTCACTTTATGTGGGTCTGAGCCAGTCATTACTGACTCGACTTCAGCTGGTTCAGAATGCTGCTGCTCGTCTTTTAACTGGCACCAGAAAACGAGAGCACATCACCCCTGTCCTGAAATCACTACACTGGCTCCCAGATTGTTTCCGGATTACTTTTAAGGTTCTTTTGTTTGTATTCAAATGTCTTCATGGTCTCGCCCCACAGTATCTGTCCGACCTTCTCCAGCCGTACATTCCCTCATGCTCTCTTAGGTCAGCTGATCAGCTGCTGTTGGCCATCCCAAAGTCCAATAGGAGGCTGAGAGATGACCGAACGTTCTCAGTCGCTGCCCCTAAACTGTGTTAGTGTACAGCACTTTGGTCAACGGTGTTGTTTTAAAGTGCTTTAGAAATAAAGTTGTATGGTATTGTATTGTATTGTATAAGTGCACTTGGCACCAAGACACCTTGGGTCATACATTGATGATGGAATTT